GGTTTGCTCTCTGTTTATATATTGTGGCATGCCCTGCCAGTGTTGGTGGGGGTTTTGTTTTGTTTTTTTCCCTCTGGTAGTTCCTTGCAGATCCTGCCATCCTGCATGGTAGTTCCATGTAGATGCTCAGCAGAATTATATAATAGTTACAAAACAAAATGCAGGATATATTAAATGCACCTCAAGTGAAGCATTAAGAGCCCTGTAACTAAGTAATAAAAATAAGAGGCCAATGACCAATTCCTGTAACTCTCCTAAGCAGATGGCAGCACCAAGCTGTTCTTTAAATTTCTCAGAAAGCTAAGGAGGGTCAAATCTTCCCAGACTTAGATGGGAGAAAATACAGGACTGGATACTATGCTGGGAAATTAAAAAAAAAAAAAATTCCTGGGAAAAGGCAATGGCAACATATTTCCCTAGTGTTGCCAAGAAAACTAAATAAACATGTCTGTGCAGTCACCAAGAACAGAGCTTGATTTAGAGGAGTTTTTAATCTCTCAATTTAGCACAACATGGAAAGAGCCAAAGCAAACCTGGCTTGTCTATTCTAATTAGGCAAAAGGTGTCTCCGGTAATTACCGTATATCAGTATATGGATTTAGGCACAAGACTATCTTAAGATTGCAGTGCCAATGTACAATTATTACTATTCATCTGCCAATAATGCAGAACACCATCTCTCTCATTTCCGATGTGATATCCTGCCCATCAGGCAAAAGACTGTGAATATCTAAGTTTATTGCCTGTTTTTCCCCCAATTCTTTTATTGCTGCTGCTTTGAATTCATGTGATATTCACTCAAACTGGACCTACTTCTGAGCTTTCTTTCCCATTCTTGCTCATCTCTACCAGAATTTTCACATTCTCTGCTTTTCCATAAAAGCCAATTCTAAACTTAACTTCTATTACAGAAAGGAGTTTGGAAACAACCTGAACTTGGATCAAAAATATACTTTTGAACTCAACTTACTGTTCAAGACACTTCTTTCACCTATACTGTTGGGGACGTAACAGTGTTTTTTTCTTTCTAAATGCCCAAACATTTCCCCCTTCCTATTCTTATCCCTGCCACCAACTCCCTAAGCAGGCCACCTTTGGTCAGCTTCAGTCCCCTCAATCTGTAATGTAAGCAAAATAAAATATGTATCAACCAGCTCATTACTGCAAGGATGCTTCCACTGTTGCTTTCTAAATGCATGCTGATAATATTGCTCTTCTTTGTACTTTCTGCATTGCTCTCTGCTTGACCTCAGCAGTTTACCACTCTGCTCTCCGGCCCTGCCTTGACCAAGCCGTTTCTACTCCAGGCCAGCTTATGGCGGCTCTTCCCAGCCTGGCTCCCTCCTGGGACCCACACAGCCCAGCTAACCCGGGCCCCCGTAGGCGCTGCCTGCGCAATCTGGGAACTGTAGTCCAACCCATCAAGAGAGCAGAGGGCTGGGGAAAGCTGGCCTTCCCAGACGCCACACGGCTCTCGTCCGTGGATCGCGGGGAGCAGGCGCAGCGCTGCTTCTGAACGCGGACGTGTTCGTCTGTCGAGCCACCGCCGGGGGAAACACGATGCCAAGGCAGGCGATGATCGCCGCGGTTATTATGACTCATCGCCCGTCCCCGGCGGCCCACCTCCCCCGCGCTGGAGAGGAAGAGACGGCGAGGAGCCTCCAG